TCCTACAAGGCTGTAATAAGGACTGAGTTTCTCTACGCCAAGCCGTCAGCCACGCCTGGTGCAGTCTATGCATCTGGCCTCCAGGCACAGTGGGAAGAGAGTCCCTGAAGTTCTGTGTGATCAGGGTGAGGCTGCAGGAAGTTGATCTCATCTCTCTCCCCACATCACCACCAACCCGACCTGGCACGCCAGTGCAGAGGGTGTGTGCTGATGTGGATTCAATGTGGTAAAGCTGCATGCATTTACCAAGAGAACCTGGGCCAGCTGCAAATCCTGGATCTCAACACTGAGCAATCGCTAAAGTAAATAAAGTGAAAATAAACTGATCACCCAGGGAATAGGACATATTCCTCTTGTTTGCACTGGTAATTGAGCCATTGTAGCCACCTTCCTACTTCCCCTGTGCTGCTGTGAGATTAAAAGGGAGTTAATGAAGCTGCCTGGCCAGAAGTGCAAAAGTAGTTTAGAGAGGTCCCAGAGCTGGTCCCATCAAGTCTTGGCACACCCACAGCACGTGTGTAAATCTCGCCCTTTTCTCGACTTTCCTCTAAGTACAACAGGACACAGAACTGCACAGACTCAGCAAAGTGCTCAGAGCTGAGGGCTGGGTGCTGAGCCGATCCAGCCTCATGCCAGAGGTCTCTTGCATGAGGCACAGTTCCCTCCCTACCATGAGTTCTCTGGCCCAGCCACACATTTTTTCCCAGCCCTGAGCAGGGCACCTCTACTCTGTGTATAAGGGATCTTTAGCACAGGTTCAGTGGGAACATAGGCCCTTGGGCTCTGAATCACATATGAAACCTGTCTGCTCCAACCTCCCTGCATCTCCTAGAAAGGCCTGGAGTATCACCCAGGGTCAGGCTCTGCCCCTGTATATGCCTCCCTTGGCCGGCCCATCCCGGATGTGTCAACAAGCAAGCCAGGTAAGAAATCCTGCTGATGATCAGAGAAAGCCAGGGCTGGGAGCCAAAACAAAATGATGAAGGAAATGCACTGTCTCCAGAAGAATCTGTTACAAAACAAAATTCTACATTCCTCAAGCTAGAAGAGACCCTGCATATAAATTTGTCCTTCAGGCAGTGATCCCTCTAGTCACCCTAGAAGATGAGGGCCTTCAGGAACCCATTCCCAACAATGGCCTGCCTTCAAAAGGGTCTTTCTATGTTCTACCCAGTCCATACATCCACATACGTGATTTAATCTTAAAGGGTGGAGTGGGTACCATGTAAGAATGAATCAGACCTGAAGCCAAGGCTGGTTTGAACAAGGTGTAGCACCTCAGTCTCAACCACAAACTCTTCGTTGTGCAGATGAAGTCATGCTAAATTGGCCATTGAGAGTAGCTCCCGGTGGGAAAAAAAAGACCCAAAAGGTCACTCCAGAGTTTTAGAAGAGGGCAATTGAGTGGGGGGACAGCATAGTGCCATGCTGAAGGCGTGGGCACAGGCATAGTCGAACTGCTTGGGTTTGAATCCCGCTTCTTCCATTTACTGGCCAGATGATTAATGGGCATGGTATTTGCCTCTCTGTCCCTCTATTGCTTTTTTTATAAAATGGGGATGACAGCAAGTGCCTACTCAGTTGGGTTGTGTTGAGTCTTAAAAAAGCAAACACATGTCTGGCACTTAAGGTATATGAGGTCTCGGTTGTCCTGAGGATGATCAATGTGCCTGAGATGTCCTGGCTTATGCCTGTTGTCTCAACATCCTTATAAATACTCTCCCTTTCACTCTTGCAAGTGAATGAGTTGCACAATAAATTCTAAGCTGATCGGTTCTTGTCCTTTTTTCTGTCCACCTAGATATCTCCCTGCTTTATGCTGCCTCTCTAAGAACTGGGGAGCCAGGTTCCCAAAGCATATGGCCCCAGGATAGTTCTGCTCATTCCACTGAAGTGCCTGTGTCTTAAACTCAGTGTTTCCTTTTTCTCTTCATTTTGTCTCTCCCTGTCCTTCCCCTTCTCCCACAGCCACCCTCCCTCTCTGGGTCTTCCCTGTCAGTGCCCAAGGGGGCGGGAGTGCACAAACGGTACTTTTTGTGCAGTGACCCTACTACACACTTGGGTGGGACACATTCTGGCTCTTTAACTAAACTATGCCTTACCAAATCTCTCTTAGAGAAAGGAAACAATTTGAGATGTCAAAGAAATTACCTGGCCACTAGACAGATGCATAGAAATAATGCAGCATTTGGGGTATATGCATGAGTTTGTATTGCTTAAGAGGTGGAAAAAAAAGAGAATAAGAGCTTGAAATGGTCCACAGAATGCTAGAACCTATCTATAAAAACCACCCCCAGGGCTATTTTATGGGAGAGGCTGGAGGCTGCTCTACAAGCAGCTGCCTCCCCACATAACAGAGGTGAGAGCAAAACCTGGGAGTCAGGAGCCCACGGGTCTGATCTCCTCTCTGCCACTCACTAACCACTGGCAAAGGACTGTGATTTTTTGAAGTCCCAGTTTCCCCATCTATAAAACAGGGCACACTTGTCCCTCAATCACTGGATGCAATGATATTGTAAGAGGCCCTGGCTTTGTTCTTTGGCTCCTGAAACTGCATTTGTGGAATTCCACAAATCTGCAACCACATCTTTAGGGCCTGCCTAGCCCTTTACAGAGGTCAAACAGGAGGGAACCAAACCTGGACAATATGATAACTTGAACTAACTCTAGCTTAATGAGTCCCCTCTGCACTGAGACAGAATACAGAATTGTTCTAGATGGGAGAAAAACAAGGGAGCGATATGAACTCAGTGACAGATACTAGGGGATCCCTCCTACCCTCCCTCGGCATAACTTCTCCCAGCCTCCTTCCAGCATCCCAGCTGCTGACAGGCTCGAAAAGCATACTCAGCTAATTCACAGCAAGAAGGCTTGAGGCAGGGGATGCAGAACCAGTGGCCACGCAGCCCCAGTCCCCATGTATGATGCCATCACAGGCTCCCACATCTCCAATCACCTACCAAAACTGACCACACTCCTGGGGTTCTCTGTCCAGCAATGGAACCCAAATCTCCATTACCATGGTCTCCTCCTCTGCTCTGGCCTCTGACATTTTTTCAGCTACCAGACTGGAACTATTCCATCTGTCTCTGGGTCCAAATCCCTGCCCCACCACTTATTAGCCATGTGACCTTGGGCTCTCTATTTAACCTCTGACTCTCAGTCTCCTCCTCTACAAAAGCTATAGAAATAATAATCTCCTCAGAAGGCTGTTGGGAGGATTAAATGAAATCATGTGTGATAATGTCCTGCCAGAGGCCCTGGCCCATTTCTTCCCCCAACACACATCCCTTTTAGCAACATCTCTGGTTGTGCCCATTCTCTTCATTCCCAACAACCCTATTCAGCCACACATGGCCACCACAATCTTCTTCCTGGGTTCTCCTCCCACAGCTTTCTTCCCTGTCAGTGCATCCTAAATATTGCTCCAAATGCCAAGTTCTTCTGAAACCAGACCCAATAACACCATTCCTCCTCCCAGAAAAATATCCCCAGGCCTAATAATGAAGTTCAAGTTCCTCAGGCTAATGCTCCAGGCCTTCCACCATTCCTTACCACAATTTCCACAATTCCAGCTGTCTGGTCCCAACCAACGTTCTCACCACATCACCACCACATTTCCCTTTATTCCTAAACACACACCCTCCATGACGCTGCTCAGGCATTCCTCCCCCAGAAATGTCCAGAATCAGTCTCCTCCCCAAGGCACAACCTAAGTGCCACCTCCAGAAGGCCATCCTGATCACTTCTTCTAGAAGTGACCTCCCTCCTCCAAAGTCCCCTAGACTCATGGCATCCATCCCTCTTACAGTAGAGTACTGAGAGGCAAAGGGACCACAGGTCATCTGAGAAGCTACCCAGTTATCATTCAAAAATATGCAGAGTAGCTCTTATGGGCTCACTCTACCCAAAGAGGATGTGCATGGTGATTTTACCTGGAAAGGGACGTGAACCCTGGCCCCTCATTCTAGAATTCTGATTCTATAAGGAGTAAGCTGTCCTATTTTATATCCCTATGCTCATATCCTTGATAAGAAGATTCTCTTTATGGGGTGACTTCTTCCAGAGACACAGAACTCGCTATCTCAAGAGTCAGGTTCTTCCTATGGAACTCTGTCACCCCTGGGGACTTCCACCTATGGGTCCTTTCTGCCCTCTGGAGCAACAAAGCTAGTTCATTCAGTATTTCTGGTATCCTCCTCAGTCCCAAACACAGAGCAGGTTTCCAATAAGTTCATCATAAGTGAACAGACATATAGACTTAGAGGGCTTTCCTACATGATCAGGTATATTCACCGCATCCCTGTGCATTTGTACACACACTCACACACTCACACACCTGGGCCACAGTTGGCAAGGCTGGCTGAGTCACACGTCAGACCACAGCACCCGTGGGGCCAGGGAGGAAGTGCAGCCCCAGCAGCAGCCCATTTCCTGAGCTTCTTCCTTTGCTTTGGGAGGCTTGCTTTCTCTTTCTGACTTTCTGACTGTCTCTCACGGTTTTTTATTTCTACACATGGCAGTGGCTGTGCTTTGGTCCTGGCCCATGTGGCAGGAGCTCCTAGTGCTGACCTGCAAGTGAGGAGGTCTGGTTTCTAGACCTGTGACCCTGGGCCAGTCACTTCACTCTGTAAAACAAAGAGGCTGGATTGGCCAAAGGATCTCTGAGGTCCCTTCCTGATCTCAGCCCTTTTTCAGTCCCTTCAGGGTTTTCAGTGACAGGGGTATCTAAGGGAAGGGAGCAGGGGCCAGGCCTGGCCTGGGTGGGGCTGACAGGGGTCAGGCCCCAGCTGTTCCCCACCTGAGTGCACAGTCTCCAGCAGACCCTCTCAGGAACCCCATGTGCTGCACACACCTGTGCTCACTTGGCTGCCTCCGGGGAAGCAGGCAGGACTCGCCTTCCTCCTGGCCTGCGCTGCATGAGGTAGAGGGGCCTGGGAAGACACCCACCCCTTAACCGTCCACCACCGTACCTCGGAAGTCACCACCTTCCCTCCTACCTGCCAACACGACCGCCTGGCTCACAGCTGTCAGCTAACCGCCTGTCCTGCAGACTGCTCCGCCTGACTCTCGCCTGACTCTCCCCGCCCAGAACAGCGCGAGCAGGACTAGCCTCCAGCGTCGGCGCAGAAGGGGAGGCGGCGCCCAGGAGCCCGCGCTGCGGGCCGCCACCCTCTGGGCGCCCTCCGGTATCTGCGCCCTCCGGTATCTGCACGCTCCGTGCAGTGAAGTCCGGGAGGATCGGGGTGTGGGGGGTGGGGAGACTGCAGGTGGCCAGGGAGCCTGGGCGGCAAGGGCGGGGCTGCGACAGACTTAGCCTAGTTAACTGGTCTGGCCGCCCCCTGTTCCCGAGTCCCCCTAAACCCCTTGCCCTGCTTCCAGAATATTAACAGGTTACAGAGCCCAGCATTTTTTTTAATGGAGAGGAATCAGCCTGGAACCTTGAGGGCCCACTGGAGAGAGGTGTGGGTAGACATCCTAGAAGCTACAACATCCAGGTCCACTCCAGCTGTTACCTCGGGGGATTTTGTCCTTCCTACACTTTTATGTCTCCTCTATATATTCTTCTGTTGGCATAAATGCTTATATAATAAAAAAACATCGAATATATATGTTTAATAAAGCTTTAAATAAATCTTCAAAGGCCTTCCTTGGTGTTCAGGCTGAGGATAACCCACAATCTGCTACACAAGGCCCTTCACGCCCACTCTCTGGCCACCAACTAACTTTCCAACCTCACCCCGTGTTCCCCAAACACATATGCCCCCTACTGTAGGAAGACAGGCTGTTGCCAAATACCAGCTGCTGGGAGTTCTTGCTGTTCCTGGAATGCCCTTCCCTTGCTTCTCTGCCTGTTGACATACTACTCATCCATCCAGACCCCACTAAAATGTCCCCTCCTCAGTGAATCCTTCCCCAGACACTGGCCCTGGTAGAAAAGCCTCTTGGTGAACCTGCATTCTCATGCTGGCATATGGTATATGAGACCCCCTTCCTTTCCCTCTTCCTCTCCTCTCCCTTATCTCCTGGGGAAAGTCTCTTTCCCCAGGACTGCATGACTCCTAAACCAGGTTGCTGGAGAAACTCAAACTCATTCACTGAAAGAGTATTGACTGAGCAACCGCAAGGTGATGAATAAAAAGCTAGGCAGGACCAACTTCCTGGGCACTTAACACATGGAGTTGAACTCTAGAAGAGCCTCATGCTCGGTTTAATGCCCTGCTGTTACCTCCTTGAAATTGTTAATAATTTTTTAACAAGGAGTCCAGCATTTTTATGTTGAACTAGATTCTGCAAGTTATATAGCTGGTTCTGCAACTAGGTCTTCCCTAGAGCTCTCAGCTTTCTAGGGAGTCATCTGGGGCGTGGATGACAGGCCGGGGAGCTGTGGAGTATAGGGCAGAACACAGTCAGTATTCAGCTTGCTCAGGCCACCTTCCCCAGCTACATTAGCTGTGCTGTGACAGGCCGGGGAGCTGTGGAGTATAGGGCAGAACACAGTCAGTATTCAGCTTGCTCGGGCCACCTTCCCCAGCTACATTAGCCTGCCCTGCCACCACCTGCTTGCTACTGTGCTCTGTGCTGGGACAGTGGCCTTGGTTAGGCACCAAAGCTTATGGGCCCAAATAGCTGCTGCAAGCCTGAAGGCCTGGCACACAACTGCTATGTCTTGGCGATACCAGAAAATGTGAGCTGTTGGAGCCCTAAGCCTTTCACATGTCCCCCACCCACACTTTACCTTCTACTCAGACTCCCACAGGCCTTTGTTTCCCTCTGTCTTTCCAGACCCAGCCCACATCAGGAAAAGAATAAATAAAGTCACCCACACTGAAAAGCAAGTGGAAGCTAAAACATAATGGACTCTTCATCCAAAGGGCACTTGGGTTTTATTAGAGTTGTGTTTTGTATTCTCCAGCCTACATGCCTGACATGTAATAGGCATCTAATTCATGATAGTTGAGTATAAAGGGTAAATGCCTATGATGACACCTGGAATAAGCAATTCGAAGTCCACTGGACCATGGACAGGGGATTTTGTTGTGTTTCATTCTGTTCTCTCTCTCTCTCTCTTTTTTTTTTTTTTTGCTTTGAAATAATGCTTGAAGCCTCAACACAATGGTTTGGGAGTGAATGGGAAGTGAAGGAATGGAGGAGTAGGATGGACCATTCTCAAGGAGATTGACCAGCAATGGAAAGAGGTAGTGTGGGAGCAAAAGAAGAACAGAAGCACAGAGAAGCCTTGAAGATGTTTGTAGGCTGAGATCAAGAACCTGATGGAGAGAGAAGGGATGGGGAGTGAGGAGGGTCAAAGACCCTGGTTCAAGAATCACAAGGGCCCTGACCAGTTTGGCTCAGTAGGTTGTATGTCATTCTGCAAAGCAAAACATTGCCGGTTTGATTCTTGGCAGTCAGGGCATGTGCCTGGGTTTCAGGTTCAGTCTCTGAAACAGGAGATGGAAGATAAAGATGAGTGAGGATGAAGAGCAAGGCATGGGAGGAAAGTTCCCAGATTATGGAGTTCCCAGAATATGGGCCCTCTTTTCAGTTTGACACAGGAAAATAGGTAACAGCCACAGTGTTTGGATAGACCAGTGAGGTGGGTGGCATCCAGTGGGGTGGGTGGCATTAGACATTTATGCAGTAAGTTGCTGCCTTTTCTCTGGGGTGGGTGATGGGGGGCCACCCAGTAGGGGAGAGTAGCAAGTGGCTTGGAGGGTACAGAGAACTTTGTAGAAGGTGTGATTCCTGAGTCACCTTTACCCTTGGTGGCACCCTTCCTCCTGGCATTTCTGACTGTGTTTTCTTGCTCACATGCTGCAACTATAATTGAAAGGCAGTTTCTCTTGTGTGATTCTCCCAGGGAACAGTAAAAACATTCGCTGTTCCAGTATAGGAATTCCTCTGCTGTCTCTCTTCCTTTTTATCAGTGGCTCCAATCACAGAGTTTCTAACAGGTGGAGGCTAAAAAAAACAAACAGGCTTTTCAATATTGACTCTCCCAGGCTCTATCCAGCTGGCAGCATCTGCCCCACCTCCCAGAGCCTCACCAGCAAAGGCCAAATCAAACAGCTGCCCAGGGCTAAAGGGCTGGCCACTCTACTCTGGAGGGAGATTGCTCTGTAGCCTCTTACCAATTGTCTTTCTCCTCCTTGAATGTCTTCGGCTTCAGTGGGAAGGAGACATTTTTAAAATGAGATCACAGATGTTAATTACAAGCTTATAGGGGACCATTCCATGTGGCAGTGGGAAATGTAGCCCAGCCCCCACTTGGAAAGGCTAGTGGGGAGCAAGATCCAGCACACTGCACATACACTCATGGATAGGTTTTCCTGTGGGGAATCAGGTCTGCATTGTACCTAGGCTGCTATGAGGCTTGCTTTTGCTAAAACTCCCTTGCCTTGAATTGAGGCACAAAATGTTTACTGCAAATTTTTCAAGTAACTTTCTAAAAATCTATGCTAAACCTCCCACGGATGAGTATAACCAGTTCAACTACTTTCCTCTTTGCATTTGCAAATATTCTTCTTCTGTGATGTGATTAGCATTTGCAAATATCCTTCTTCTGTGAAGTAATGTACCCAGAAAAGCAATAAAAGCCTGTCCAGGCAGGGGTCAGCCCCTGAGAGAGTGGCCATGCTGTCCCATTTTCTCCACAGGACTTCTGTAGTCTGTGTGAATTTGTTTGTTACAGCCACAACACGCAGACCCTGCTAGCTGGAATCCGCGTCACAAGCTCATAGTTGTTATTGAAAAATAAGACTGGATGGGAGAAAAACATGGCTGATCTGTGGAGGAACACAGCAAATAACCAACAGTGCCCCAGCATATAGGAAAAGAGGAGTCCAGAAATTGTAGCAGACACTGGAAGACCAGATGGTGAGGAGATAGCTGCAGGTCAATAAGGTCTGAGGGACCAGCACAGAGGCTGCAGGCTGAGGCTGCCGCCTCTGTTGGGCTGGGCACCAGGGGCCCAGGCAGGTCTGCCGTGGACTCTTTGGGAGCCAAGGACTGGCAGCAAGGTCCTTGGGAGAGAGCCAGGTTATCAGCTCCCTCCCTGCCTGGCCAGCGGGTGCAGTTTGAAAAATACTGGGAGAGACCTGTTTGCTTGAAGTGTCAGAGAGAGGAATGGGCACAAGGAGGCAAATCTGGGGGACTTGATCACCCATGAAGTCTGTGGTTGCTGGCTTGGGAGAATTGAGAGTCGCTCTTGTGTTCCCCATAGCACTGGAAAAGGTTCACACCCAAGCCTGTGGGACCAGGGAAGCCTGGCCAGGTGCACGCACCTGCACCCCAGCCCACGGTGGTGACTCCAGGGGAAAGACTGCTCAGAAGAGGACCAGGATTCCCTCAGTGGGGCACTGAGGAGAGGCGCCAGTCAGGATCTTGGGAGAGTGAGTTCTTGTAAGACCGGCTGAGTACACCAAGAAGGGAGAAAGGCCACCCCAATCACCCCTCAGCCTGCTGCAGCCAGTGAGACCAGAAAAACTGGTTTAGCCAACTGGAAACAAACAAGAGGTGTTTGTTTTTTTTTAAGTAATCTTTTATTTTTTAACTTTATTGTTGTTTTATCTTTCAATACTTTTTACCTCTCTTTCCTTCTTGTTTTATTTCTTCTTCCTTTCTTTATAAACTTACTGCTTTTTCCTCCCTTTCACTGCCTTCTCCCCGACCCCACAAGTGAGACAAAAAACTTGGAACTGCGTAAAGACCAGAGTTGGACCCAAAGAGGGGGAATCCCAACAGTAGAGACAGAGAGACAAATTCCACTTTGCTGTAGCAGAAATACTACAAGTTACTTCATATTTGTATTTTTTCATTATTCTTACATCTTTTATTTTAATAGTATTTTTGTGTTCCTCTTCTTACTGTATAGTCTTCTTTGCCTTGGCTGGGTGTACTGTATTATTTGACAGGTTTCCCCTGTCCTCTCATTCATAGTGTATTGCTATTTTACTGTCCTTTACTTCCCCTTGCTCCATTAGTACACTATTGAAAGTCCAATACTCCCTAATCTTGGTATCTCATAGATTCTGTCATATGATTGTTGTTCTAATATGATTGTAAATAATAGCTGTTCCATACTATTATAAATACTACACAACACCCCTCCCAGATCTTAGCCCACTTCATTGTTTCCTGAACTATAATACTGTAGTGATTAACTCTATTATCTCTCACATTACACCTATTT